CAAGGTTTGAATCCCAGCTCAAACGTTTTAACCGTGTGACTTCTGGTGAATTACTTAACCCGTCTGAGCCTTACTTCCTTTACGTAATACAAGTATCAACTCCGTGGGCCAGACCAGCCCCAGCCTCCTACAAATCCATCTCTGTCCACAGATGCCACTGTGGACAGACCACCGTAGGAGGAAGGGCTGTGTCCCTCCTCTCCACTCTCAGGTCCCTCCACCATAAAAAGCCCACTCTCCATAAAGCTGTTGAGAATTAAGTACCACAGCAGACACAGAGCACCTAGGACACTGCTTGGCACACTGAAGCACCAGTAAACATTTAGCTCTTACTACTAGGAAGTATGTCCTGGAGACGCATAAGAAACCGCTAAGAAATCTTGGGGCAAAGGTGGAGGCTCTCTCGAGAAGAATGTTTACTGGGAGTGGGGAGAAACAGCTGGGCATCTGCAGCAGGGCAGATGGTGGGCAGACAGCCTTCCGGAACAGGAGAGTGTGGCAAACGCACCAGAGCCACTCGGCGGTCACACTCCTGCAGGCCACGCGAGGCTGTCCAGGTGCTGAGGATGCAGGCGCGCAGGGTCGACCAGGTGTCCTGTCATGCAGACCTTACATTCCACAGGAGGGAGAGCAAACAAGTAGGAACACATGCGGCGGACATGAAGGCCACACCACAATGGACGGTGTGATGCGCGGAGGAGGAGCTTGCCTTGGATGGGGCAGGAGAGCCTCTCTGAGAAGTGGAGCTGGCCACGCCAAAGCCTGGGGAAGAACCTGAGACATGAGCATGGAGCTGGCTGGAAGAGCAGGGAGGCCACTCAGGTGCAGCTCAGGGGGGATGGCAGTGGCCGGGGGTGAGGACCTCCAGACCACAGGGACGAATCTGGGCTTTATGCCATGTGCAGGTGACTAGCCTCACATATAAGCAGGGAACCTAGGCTCTGGTTTACCTCTTTCAAAAGATAACCCTGTCTTCCCTGGAGAGAAGGATCTGGAGCTAAGAGCAAGCAGGTGGTCTGGTGAGGAGATGACTGCAGTGGCCTCAGAGATGACTGAGCTGAGGCTGCTGTGGCCAGTGCTGAGACGGATGGATGAGGATTTGTTAGAGGCACCATTTAGAGGGAGCGATGTGAGGGCTTGAGGGTAAGGAAATGGGTTGGTAGAATGAGGAAAGCAAGGCGAAGCCCGTGAGGCAGGGAGAGAATCACAAGTCTGAGCCGCCTACGTGACAACCAAATGGAAGCATCTGGCTGGACCCACGCGTCCGGAGCTCAGAGGAGAGGTGGAGACTGAAGACATCAGTGTGGGAAG